TGAAACTGGGGACTGAGTATGAAATACCTATGCCCAATATCCACACACATAAATTACATATACATTGTATTTCAACAGATTTGTTGAAATACAAAATAATTAAAACCAATTAACATTGTTCACTCGGGCATAGTCTACCCAACTAGGAAGTGTTTCCATGTCATTTGAAGATTGGCTCTTCAATATATCACACACAGATATCAAATTAACATTTACACAGATCTAACCCAGTAAGAGGTATTCAGATATCACATACAGATATCAAATTAACATTTACACAGATCTAACCCAGTAAGAGGTATTCAGATATCACACACAGATATCAAATTAACATTTACACAGATCTAACCCAGTAAGAGGTATTCAGATATCACATACAGATATCAAATTAACATTTACACNTACCAGTACGAGGTATTCAGACACAGATCTAACCCAGTAAGAGGTATTCAGACACAGATCTAACCCAGTAAGAGGTATTCAGACACAGATCTAACCCAGTAAGAGGTATTCAGACACAGATCTAACCCAGTAAGAGGTATTCAGACACAGATCTAACCCAGTAAGAGGTATTCAGACACAGATCTAACCCAGTAAGAGGTATTCAGACACAGATCTAACCCAGTAAGAGGTATTCAGACACAGATCTAACCCAGTAAGAGGTATTCAGACACAGATCTAACCCAGTAAGAGGTATTCAGACACAGATCTAACCCAGTAAGAGGTATTCAGACACAGATTTACACCAGTAAGAGGTATTCAGACACAGATCTATACCAGTAAGAGGTATACACAGACAGATCTAACCCAGTAAGAGGTATTCAGACACAGATCTATACCAGTACGAGGTATTCAGACACAGATCTAACCCAGTAAGAGGAATTTAAACACAGATCTAACCCAGTAAGAGGTAGTCAGACACAGATCTATACCAGTACGAGGTATTCAGATTCATTCTCAAAGTGAAGCTTTGGACAGCAACTTTTACAAAAAGAAAAAAACGGATCTCTTGGTAATCCTGTTTTTTTATATTTGTATCCTGATACAATACCAACCCTCCAGTATAATAGGTACACCTGATACACTGTTTCTACTGGTGCCACAACATCACATTATAACTCATAAATAATGGGAGATATCTCCAGTCTAGAAGATGCTGGAACTGATGTTAGCTCCCCCTGTTGACAGATACCTGAACCAGCTGGCATAATGGCCTTCTTATCTTATCTATGTCAGCCACACAACTTAACCATCAAACAGGCCAACTCCAACTTACAATACTAACTCAATGATAAGCACTCATTCTCCTTAGATACAAACTTTTATGAAAGCTTTTTATAGTAAGAGGTATTCAGATATCACACACAGATATCAAATTAACATTTACACAGATCTAACCCAGTAAGAGGTATACAGACACAGATTTACACCAGTAAGAGGTATTCAGATATCACACACAGATATCAAATTAACGTTTACACAGATCTAACCCAGTAAGAGGTATTCAGACACAGATCTAACCCAATAAGAGGTATTCAGACACAGATCTATACCAGTACGAGGTATTCAGACACAGATCTAACCCAATAAGAGGTATTCAGACACAGATCTATACCAGTACGAGGTATTCAGACACAGATCTATACAAGTACGAGGTATTCAGATTCATTCTCAAAGTGCAGCTTTGGACAGCAACTTTTACAAAAAGAAAAAAACGTATCTCTTGGTAATCCTGTTTTTTTATATTTGTATCCTGATTCAATACCAACCCTCCAGGATAATAGTTACATCTGATCCAATACAAACCCTCTAGTATAATAGTTACATCTGAAACAATACCGGGCCCTCCAGTATAATAGTTACCCCTAATACAATACCACACCCAGCAGTATAATAGTTACACCCGATACAATACCAACCCTACAGTATAATAGTTACATCTGAAACAATACCGGGCCCTCCAGTATAATAGTTACACCCGATACAATACCACACCCAGCAGTATAATAGTTACACCCGATACAATACCACACCCTCCCGTATAATATTTTCATCTAATACAATCCCACCCCCACCAGTATAATAGTTCCACCCGATACAATACCAACCCTCCTGTATAATAGTTACACCTGATACAATACCAACCCTCCAGTATAATAGTTACACCTGATACACTGTTTCTACTGGTGTCACAACATCACATTATAACTCATAAATAATGGGAGATAACTCCAGTCTAGAAGATGCTGGTACTGATGTTAGCTCCCCCTGTTGACAGATACCTGAACCAGCTGGCATAATGGCCTTCTTATCTTATCTATGTCAGCCACACAACTTAACCATCAAACAGGCCAACTCCAACTTACAATACTAACTCAATGATAAGCACTCATTCTCCTTTGATACAAACTTTTATGAAAGCTTTTTATGAGTTTTCAGCAAGAGAATCTTCACAAATAATTAATCTGTATCCAGACCAGCTGATAAACACCAATGGTGTGTAAGGTTGCCTGTATAAACACCAATGGTGTGTAAGGTTGCCTGTATAAACACCAATGGTGTGTAAGGTTGCCTGTAGGCATTCACAGTTACACATTATCATAGTACATATCCAAGTCATTATAAACATATTAAGCTCCTGTCAAAACATTTTCACTCAAATATAAATATTTCTGAACATGTTGCAAGGTTGATTGGAATATTTCAGTGGGATAGCACTATAAAAGTGATTCTGTACTTAATTAATCTATTGTAAATCATAATATTTTCACCTTGCTGAAATGTCTTACATGTGTCTTTTCAGATGCAAGTGTTAACTCACACTTTAATTGAAGACTTAACAATCAGTTTCTTTAAAACAAAAGATAAAATTGTTGAGCCCATTTTAAATCCTTTTGAGGAAAAATTAAAAACTAAATAGAGGCAAACATGTAATGATCTTTGGAAAACCAAAACATCTTCCAGGAAATCAGACACCCATTCAATAGAAATGATCAGTGACCAAGTCTAGGTAAATAGACTTTGTATGTTCACATGTGTTAACAGGGCGACAAAGATTTACAGATTTTGCAGATACAGGTAGCCCTTTACATGACTGGGTTGGCTATAACTTTCTTAACCTTGTCTCTTCTGTTACAAGGATGCACCACCCTAAACAAACACTTTTAACCTCTAGCGACCGTCAGCCAATCAACAGCCAGACATACTAAAGTACATCTAATGCCCCAAATATTACATATTTACTAATTATCTTTTTAGATGGGAATTGTTGCTATTATGTTATGAGACCTTGTTCCCTAATTTTCAAATTAGTTTGTGGCATGTGACATGGGCCATGGGTGATAATAACGTGTTTCGGGGACGGTAACAGCGTGCTGGGCAGGGCGTTGATTATATAATAATCCTACAGAGAACGGCTGATAGCACTTTAAAGTACGGTGAAGACAATACATATGACATGAGTTTTTCTGCAATGATGAGATAATATTCCCAATTAACATCTGTGTCATAAGTTGCACCAAACATAATCACTATAATGCCAAAAAAGCCATCAAAACAAGAGAAGTTTAATTCCAGACCTTAGGGAAGGTGTGGTTGTAAAATCCTCATCACGCTGTAACAGTACAGCGTAGAAAACTAATCTACCAGGGAACTACTCTCCGTCCATTTTGTTTACTAAAAACCAATCTACAACTACCAATACTTCTAGTATCATTACACCTTTCTGGCCTCAGGATCAAAAACGATCGCAGACTAGGGTGGTCGGGTAGCACAGTGGATAGCAGCACACTGGCTGTCACCAAGAAGGAAGGGGTTTGATTCCCCAACTGGGACCTGAAAAGGTATTAGGGCTCTGCCCTATGAGCCACATTTGTTTTCACCAGGTACTGAATGGTTTCCTGTCACATTTAGATCCTCTGTGAACTTTTATCTGGGCTGACAAAAGTGAGGAACATAAGTTAATGGAAAGCTTGCTTCATGTCGTAAAATCAATAAGTCTAAATTTTTAGAATTGTGTCTGAATGTCAAATGTTTTTAAAATTAATCAATCCTCAACATCAATCTAGATTTGGTAGAAAAGACCATACTTAAGAAATATTATTTATTAAAAACCATGTTTTGATATATAAAAAAATAAATCATTACTATTTGAATTTTGGAAAACATTAACCAAACCAGTACCTTCCAACAGTAAGACCCCCTGCACTGCTTCCATCAGGACCATCAAAGTGATCAATATAACTGGTAAAAACTTGTTTCTTGAAAGTTTATTGATTTGAACTTAAGCTGAATTATTTTGTTTTAATCTTGGAGCCTGTTCTCGTAAAATTTTAGACAAGAGCTTGCTAAAACCTTGTTGGACTTTAACGTAACATTTTGACAAAACCTTATTTTCTCTTTTAACTTCATTGAAAAGATAATTGCATTAGAACATTGTTTTATTGAATTAACCAGCATATTCAATCATTGTTTATACTTACAGAAACACAAAATTTCTCCAACTGGAATGTCACTACATTGAATCATCTGGTACATAAACCCAATAAAATACACTATCAGTTTGTACTTGTCATCTATCATACAGGTGCACGCTCCCTCTAAACTTCTCTCCAGAGATGAAAGGATGGTTCTTTGTCTACCAGCAGTGATATGCTACAAGATCAACTATTAATCAAGGAATTATTTTTTATAAATGGGGATACGCCTGGAACAATGGTTGAATAGTCTGGAAAATATGTAGTGTTGGCAGAGAAGGCAATCATTTAGAAGTTTAACCCTGGGTGTCCTTCACAGCCCTACCATTTAACATGGTGAACATTGCACAAAACAAAGTGTCACTCTATTAATATTTTAGATGAAGTTTCAATCACCTGTGGAAACAGAAGCCTTTTCAATGTTTTGTTTGTTTAATTCAGTTATATTTTCAAGTATTATTCCACCTTATCAAATTTTTATAAAAAAACAACAACTTTTCTATAAGAAAAATAATAGTGATGCAGTTATAACAGATAATGCACGCGATCCTTCTTCGACATGAACGGGGCTCCCCCAACCAACATCAGTCGTGCCTGGGTGGTGGACACAGAGGGGTAGATAGAGGAACAGCCTGTGTGGTGGACACAGAGGGGTAGATAGAGGAACAGCCTGTGTGGTGGACACAGAGGGGTAGACAGAGGGATGGCCTGGGTGGTGGACACAGAGGGGTAGATAGAGGAACAGCCTGTGTGGTGGACACAGAGGGGTAGATAGAGGAACAGCCTGAGTGGTGGACACAGAGGGGAAGGCAGAGGAACAGCCTGGGTGGTGGACACAGAGGGGCAGATAGAGGAACAGTCTGTGTGGTGGACACAGAGGGGAAGGCAGAGGAACAGCCTGTGTGGTAGACAAAGAGGGGTAAATACAGGAATGGCCTGTGTGGTGGACACAAGAGGGGTTGGCAGAGGAATGGCCTGGGAGGTGGACACAGAGGGATAGGCAGAGGAACAGCCTGGGTGGTGGACACAGAAGGGTGGATAGAGGAACAGCTGGGAGGTGGACACAGAAGGGTAGGCAGAGAAATGGCCTGTGTGGTGGACACAGAAGGGAAGGCAGAGGAACAGCCTGGGTGGTGGACAAAGAGGTAGGCAAAGGAATGGCCTGGGTGGTGCACACAGAGGGGAAGGCAGTGGAACAGCTGGGAGGTTAACACCGAGGGGTAGACAGAAGAATGGCCTGGGTGGTGGATACAGAGGGGAAGGCAGAGAAATAGCCTGGGTGGTGGACATAAAGGGGTAGACAGAGGAATAGTCCGAATTATTCTGACGTTTTATCAACTTTTTTCATATCGGTCTGTCGTCGATTAACGTCAGAACTCCGGCTCTCTATAATATGCGGGAAATATGCGACCCGCGCCCGGAGCGCACTTCAAACTGATATTTTAGAAACAAATCGTCACTTTCACACACATGTCGCACATGGATCGAAAGATCTATTCTTTATGCACTAGGTGGTATCAATAACATGTTTCAAAGATCATTACGAAAAGTATTTTCTACCGTTTTCTATACCAACCCATATTTTTAATGGAAATTAGGCCATGAGCAATGTCACATGACTTGACGAGATCTCGCATTACCGAAGGTATTCCCAACGTTATGACGTAGGCCGGCGAGATTTTAGTTACGTGGCAGTAGAAGGCGGGGCTATCAAAAAACTAGAGTAAAACAGAGAAAGTTTGAAAAATATGTTTTTAGTGATTGTATTGGTTGTTTGAGCCATGTTATGCATGTTCATCTTGTGCATAAAGAATAGATCGTTCGATCCATGTGCGACATGTGTGTGAAAGTGATGATTTGTTTCTAAAATATCAGTTTGAAATGCGCTCCGGGCGCGGGTCGCATATTTCCCGCATATTATAGAGGGCCGGAGTTCTGACATTAATCGACGACAGACCGATATGAAAAAAATCGATAAAACGTCAGAATAATTCGGACTAACAGAGGAACAGCCTGTGTGGTGGACTCAGAGGGGTGGATAGAGGAACAGCTGGGAGGTTAACACTGAGGGATAGGCAGAGGAACAGCCCGAGAGCTGGACACAGAGGGGTAGGCAGAGGAACGGCCTGTGTGGTGGACTCAGAGGGATAGGCAGAGGAACAGCTGGGAGGTTAACACCGAGGGATAGGCAGAGGAATAGCCCGAGAGCTGGACACAGAGGGGTAGGCAGAGGAATGGCCCGGGTGGTGGACTCAGAGGGATAGGCAGAGGAACAGCTGGGAGGTTAACACCGAGGGATAGGCAGAGGAATAGCCCGGGTGGTGGACACAGAGGGGAAGGCAGAGGAACAGCCGGGTGGTAGACTCAGAGGGATAGGCAGAGGAACAGCTGGGAGGTTAACAGCGAGGGATAGGCAGAGGAATAGCCCGAGAGCTGGACACAGAGGGGTAGGCAGAGGAACGGCCCCGGTGGTGGACTCAGAGGGATAGGCAGAGAAACAGCTGGGAGGTTAACACCGATGGATAGGCAGAGGAATAGCCTAGGAGTTGGAAACAGAGGGGTAGGCAGAGGATAAGCCTAGGAGTTGGGAACAGAGGGGTTTGCAGAGGAACTTCCTGGGTTGTGGACACAAAGGGGTAGGTAGAGAACAGCCTAAGAGTTGGAAACAGAGGGGAAGGCAAAGGAATAGCCTCGGAGTCGGAAACAGAGGGGTAGGCAGAGGAAAAGCCTGGAAGGTGGAGAGGAAGAATAAGGCAGTTGAGGTAGAGACAAAAGTTTAAAGAGGAACGGCCTATGAGGTGGAGACAAAAGAGAGAAACAGCCTGGGAGGTGGAAACCAGGAGTTTGCAGACAAAAGTCTGATATATATATGTGCTGAGTGAAATTGAGATACCTTTCACCAAGTGTTATTCAAGTCATCAACACTTAGAAACCTTAACCCTAAAACACATCCATTATAACAATCCTTGTATCTCAAAAACGAGGCAAAAATCTACTGTATACAGTTAATAGTATTAACATTTACAGTGCTAATTAGCCGAGTTTAAAGGATGGCTACATTAGACTCCAACAGGCTAAAAGTTCGGTTATTTGTAAATAGTGGGAGAAATAGTTTGTACACTGAAGACACTGTTGATAGTTTTGTTAGATGTTGATGATGAAGTGATGGTTGCGTAGAAAGGGCCTCGGTAGCGAGGCCTCGCTGAAGTGTGTTTAAAAGGAGGAAAGGAGGAAGAACTTAAAGGTAGAAAAAAGGAAATGGGGAGGACTGATCAAGAAAACGATAATAATATATTTTCAATCCAGAAAAAAACCATTAATTTTTTAACAGATCCTGAGATTTCCTCTGACATGTAAAGTGTGTCATTTTCAGAAGTTGTGAATGAGTTGATGTTACACTGACCAGCAATAGGGATACTGGTGGAATACAAGCTAATGTGTTAAATCCTCACCCTACCTGATGTAGGTGTGATAACGGAGTCGACATAAGCCTCAAATCCTCACTGAGAGCTACACTCACCATCCCATCATACGTGTAAGACCCCTTTTAACATCAGCATATTTTTTCACAAATTTAATGTTCAAATCAAAGACTATGAATAACTGATAAAATTTACTGTAGTGGTAAACTGGATATTCTATATGGATGATTATTTAGTGCATTAGATAAAATACATCAATATCGCCCATAACATTCTATATCAATGGATTTAACTATCCTACAAGTGTCCAAGTTGTTTGGTACACATATCACACTGTACAGTCACCAATATGTGTGACATATCACACTGTACAGTCACCAGGACTTGTGTGTGACATATCACACTGTACAGTCACCAGGACTTCTGTGTGACATATTGCTGTACATGTACGGTCACCAGGACTTCTGTGTGACATATCACTGTACAGTCACCAGGACCTCCGTGTGACATATCACACTGTACAGTCACCAGGACTTCTGTGTGACATATCACACTGTACAGTCACCAGGACTTCTGTGTGACATATCACACTGTACAGTCACCAGGACTTCTGTGTGACATATCACACTGTACAGTCACCAGGACTTCTGTGTGGCATATCCCACTGTACAGTCACCAGGACTTCTGTGTGACATATCACACTGTGCAGTCACCAGGACTTCTGTGTGGCATATAACACTGTACAGTAACCAGGGCTTCTGTGTGATATATCACTGTACAGTCACCAGGACTTTTGTGTGACATATTGCTGTACAGTCACCAGGACTTCTGTGTGGCATATAACACTGTACAGTAACCAGGGCTTCTGTGTGACATATCACTGTACGGTCACCAGGACTTCTGTGTGGCATATCACACTGTACAGTCACCAGGACGTCTGTGTGACATATTGCTGTACATGTACAGTCACCAGGACTTCTGTGTGACATATCACGGTACAGTCACCAGGACTTCTGTGTGACATATCACACTGTACAGTCACCAGGACTTCTGTGTGACATATTGCTGTACATGTACGGTCACCAGGACTTCTGTGTGACATATCACTGTACAGTCACCAGGACTTCTGTGTGACATATCACACTTTACAGTCACCAGGACTTCTGTGTGAAGATCATTAACATTAAACAATGGATACAGCCAACATTCTCTAAATATTTTTACACTCTCAATATATTCTGCTTTAAACAACAGAATCTGAAATATCAATCACTCTGAACTTTAAGGTGAAAGGTATAAAAAGTCAAGACTGTTAGTTTAAGGTCAAGTCTGGCCTCATCACTTGTCAACAACAGTTCTTTATAAACCCATATCAAGTGGTGGAAAATTAATGAACACATTCCCATCACATTGGCCCTCCCCCTAGTTGTCTCCCTTTATGAAAGTCTTCAGTGATAAAGTGTTTGTGTAGTTGGTGTGTAACTGTAGTTACCAGTGATAGACTTACATGATTAGAGCTCTGTAAGTCTGTGATGTGAAGGTATCTCGATCCCCGGGCCCCGTCTCCCGACGACAACACCTCCCTACAGCTGGAATGTGTTGGGGACACCTGTCCATATTGTATCCCCTTTTGACAATCCTATTGACAAAGTTTGTTTTTCATGCGTAATATGACAAATATTTATCCTCATCCAATAAGAAAGATTATTATTGAAATTCCAAAGATGTGACCGAAACATTCTCATACATTTTTTTTTATCTCCATAGTCAACAAGTTATTTGCCATCAGAATTTATTAAGTTTAGCACACATAAAAATTACCCTTGTATTCTATGGTAATCTCATGAGCTTACTATAATATACAATGTTGGAAATGCATGAAATTTAAGATTCATTTTACAAACTCTGATAAATTCTATATCCATGCACAACTGTGTTCAAATGGTAATATTGTGTAAACAATATTTTGCAGGTGTACCCAAATGAACATTATAACAACTGTATATCTCTGAAAATCTATCTTGTACATCTGATAAGAAAAGTTAACTCTTTATTGGTGAAACATGTCTGTATTTTATAAATTTGGTAGTAGAATACTTACTAAGTAAAAGAAAAGTCTATTGGTGCCCAAGACTGAATGTGTTTTTTTGCAAATAGTTTTTGAATTGCAATAGTAACTTGTCAAAAACTAGTATGTATATGTGCCATTGGAAAACTAATAACAAGAGGCCCAGAGGGCCTGTATCGCTCACCTGAATATGTTTAAAATAATTGGTATAAAGTAAAGGTATAGCACTCCATGGTAGTTGCTGTAAGTACATATAAAAACTCAGAAAGATCCAAACAGTACTTGAGATATAGCAAGAACAAACTTCAAACAGAGCCCCACCCCACCCCTATGCCCCTAGGGGGGTCATACCGACCGATTATAAAAAAATTGAGACCCCTTGGCCCAAGGATGCTCCAGACTAAATAAGGATAAAATCCCTTAATCTCGATGGACGAAGAATGATTTTAAAGGTTTTACCTCTATTTCTCCTATTGGGCCCCGCACTTATACCCCATGGGAGACCACACCCACTACTTATACAAAATTGAGTCCCCTTGGCCCAAGGATGCTCCAGACTAAATTAGGATAAAATCCCTTAATCCCTATTGTAGAAGAAGGATTTTAAAGGTTTTACCTCTATTTCCCCTATTAGGCCCCACCTCTCTGCCTCCAGGGGGGTTAGACAGACCAGTTATACAAAATTGGTTCCCCTTCACCCAAGGATGCTTCATACCAAATTTGGACAAAATCCTGTCATTCGTACAGAAGAAGGTATTTGAAGAATTTGCTATGTTTCCCCTATTGTGCCCCTCCCTTCTGCTCCCAGGAGGGCCACACTCGCTGTTTATATGACATTGAGTCCCTTTTGCCAAAGGATGCTCAAGACTAAATTAGGATAAAATCCCTTAATCCCTTTGGTAGAAGGATTATAAAGGTTTTACTTCTATTTCCCCTATTGGGCCCCGCCCCAAGCCCCCAGGAGGGCCAGACCCACTGTTTATACAAAATTGGTTCCCCTTTATCCAAAGAAGCTCCACACCAAATATGGACCAAATCCTTTCATTCCTATGTTTCCCCTATTGGGCCCCGCCCCTCAGGCCCATAGCGGGCCACACCCACGGTTTATACAAAATTGGTTCCCCTTCACCCAAGGATGCTCCACCCCAAATATGGAACAAATCCTTTCATTCCTACAGAAGAAGAAGGATTTTAAAGAATTTGCTATATTCCCCCTATTGGGACCTGCCCCTCAGTCCCCTGGGGGACCAGACCCACAATTTATACAAAATTGAGGCCCCCTGGCCCAAGGATGCCCCAGACTAAATTAGGATAAAATCCCTTAAGCCCTACGGTAGAAGAAGGATTTTAAAGATTTTACCACTATTTCCCCTATTGGGCCCCACCCCTCTACCCCCAGGGGGGCCACACCCACCATTTATACAAAATTGAGTCCCCTTGGCCTAAGGATGCTCCAGACCAATATTAGTCAAAATCTGCTTGGCCGTTCAGGACAAGTAGCGTTTTAAAGGAAAAGTTGACGGACGGACGGACGATGGACGGGCAACGGACGACGGACGACAGACGCTGCGGTATGGCATAAGCTCACCATGGTCCTTCGGACCAGGTGAGCTAAAAAGTGTTCACCAATACACATTATCATTACACGGAGGCTGTCTGGGGGTCAGAGGGAAAGGGAGGTTGGCATGCTCCGTGTGGGAGTGTTGCAATGTCAAGTTGCTCGGTGATTTGATTGCAGTATTGTCGGAACCAAACAAGGTTGATGTCTGATCATGACTGCCCGTGAAGCAGCCTGGTGTAACAGACCCCTGATCATGGCTGCCCATGAAGCAGACCGGGTGTAATAGACCCCTGATCATGACTGCCCATGTAGCAGACCTGGTGTAACAGACCCCTGATCAGGACTGCCCGTGAAGCAGCCTGGTGTAACAGAACCCTGATCATGCCTGCCCGTGAAGCAGCCTGGTGTAACAGAACCCTGATCATGCCTGCCCGTGAAGCAGCCTGGTGTAACAGACTCCTGATCATGACTTCCTGTGAAGCAGCCTGGTGTAACAGCCCCCTGATCATGACTGCCCGTGAAGCAGACCTGGTGTAATAGACCCCTGATCATGGCTGCCCATGAAGCAGCCCTGGTGTAACAGACCCCTGATCATGACTGCCCATGAAGCAGACCTGGTGTAACAGACCCCTGATCATGGCTGCCCATGAAGCAGACCTGGTGTAATAGACCCCTGATCATGACTGCCCATGAAGCAGACCTGGTGTAACAGACCCCTGATCATGACTGCCCGTGAAGCAGCCTGGTGTAACAGACTCCTGATCATGACTGCCTGTGAAGCAGCCTGGTGTAACAGACCCCTGATCATGACTGCCCATGAAGCAGACCTTGTGTAACAGACCCCTGATCATGACTGCCCATGAAGAAGCCCTGGTGTAACAGACCCCTGATCATGACTACCCGTGAAGCAGACCTGGTGTAACAGACCCCTGATCAGGACTGCCCGTGAAGCAGCCTGGTGTAACAGAACCTTGATCATGACTGCCCGTGAAGCAGACCGGGTGTAACAGACCCCTGATCATGACTGCCTGTGAAGCAGCCTGGCGTAACAGACCCCTGATCATGACTGCCCATGAAGAAGCCCTGGTGTAACAGACCCCTGATCATGACTGCCCATGAAGCAGCCTGGTGTAACAGAACCATGATCATGACTGCCCATGAAGAAGACCTGGTGTAACAGACCCCTGATCATGACTGCCCATGAAGCAGCAGCCTGGTGTAACAAACCCCGTGTACACTACATATATGTTATAATTTCAGTTGCTTGGGTACCATCCGAAAGTGCTGGACACAACATCATTGTAACAATTACCTTACAGCGTTCAGATACTTTGTCATTGGGTGTCACGCCAACTAAACAACAGTTATTACGCCAACGAAACAACAGTTATTTTATCAATGATTCCAGATTCTGTTTGTTACATGGTGATGGGATAGACAGAGTCAGGTTTAAATCACACCTGTACATTTTACCTGTATACATCTCAACTTCTGGTCCTAGGATGGTACATTGTAATGTATTTAGGATAAGGGGGCTGTCCATTAAAGACTTTTGTGTCATGATCAGCTACGATTTATAATTACTTGGGCTGGCATAGTCTATTTTAGATCCTAGCTTTATATAACAACGGTTTTCAGCTTTGGAACAAGCCCTTTATGTCTTCTATACTGCAAATGTCTTACCTTAGAGTTAATATAATTGTGTGGTTTCAAAATATAAAATGATCATCTTCAACAATAAAAACAACTTAAAGCCATCAATATCTCTTTAAACTGATGTGATAACCTGTGAAATACTATACATGTATTCTTTTCAATGCCTTCCATCCTCCTCCTTCTGGGTTGTGATAATCAGCAGTTACTTACAGGAACCAACTACTCTATACTTCTGGGTTGTGAGAATCAGCAGCTACTTATAGGAACTAACTACCCTATACTTCTGGGTTGTGAGAATCAGCAGTTACTTACAGGAACCAACCACTCTAACTCTGGGTTGTGAGAATCAGCAGTTACTTACAGGGACCAACTACTCTATACTTCTGGGTTGTGAGAACCAGCAGTTACTTACAGGAACCAACTACTCTATACTTCTGGCATGTGAGAATCAGCAGTTACTTACACGACCCAATTACTATTACTTCTGGTTTGTGAGAATCAGCAGTTACTTACAGGAACCAACTACTCTATACTTCTGGGATGTGAGAATCAGCAGTTACTTACACGACCCAATTACTATTACTTCTGGTTTGTGAGAATCAGCAGCTACTTATAGGAACTAACTACCCTATACTTCTGGGTTATGAGAATCAGCAGTTACTTACAGGAACCAACCACTCTAACTCTGGGTTGTGAGAATCAGCAGTTACTTACAGGAACCAACTACTCTAGTCTTCTGGGTTGTGAGAATCAGCAGTTACTTACAGGAACCACCTACTCTATACTTCTGGGTTGTGAGAATCAGCAGTTACTTACAGGAACCAACTTCCCTATACTTCTGGTGCAGTTTTACAATTCCATGAAAAATTATTCTCTTGTGAGTTCAATAATTCGTGAATAATGCGAAAAATAGAAATGCATGTTACGGAACACACCGACTATACCTATACTATTGTGATAAAACAGTTTTTACAAACCCTGACATAAAGATGATTTTAATTCTTTGGGTTTTATTGTAAATATTCACACAATATGGATATTAATGGCATTTATTTTAATTTCAAAACAATAACTTCCCCCAAGCCACATTACAATTGCTACAAATCATTGCTATCTATTGTGTTCCGGAGAAGCACAAATGTACTGTTGACTTTGGGTTTGGAGTCGTCACGGCTCGCTATAACCCGACACAATTTTACACCGATAGTTTTATGGTGTTTACAGAGGCAAATGAAGTCTCTAACTGTTCATTCTCACCACAACCATTAACCATTCTACACTACATTACACCACAGGAAGTCTGAATTCTAAATTTCAAATTAAAGATACATATCAATAAATTTTCTTTAGTTTA